TTAGCGCCCCCACCCCTTTTAATAAGCAGTAGGTTCTCATTTAGTCCAGGTCGGTCTCCAGCTTGATTTGTAGGCTAAAATGACCTGAACTCCTGATCCGCCCATCTCCACCCACCAAGTACTGGAGTTTCAAGCCTGTGTTATCACTCTGTGTATCTTATAAACTCTTTAAAGCCTCCTTTAAGGGTTGGCAAGCTGGCTTTGTCAGTAAAGGCCCCTGTGGACAAACCTAATGAACTCAGTTTAATCCCGGAGTCCTGCAGGCAGATCTCTTTGAGTTTGAAGCCAGCCTGGTCTATGTAGCAAGTTCCAGGACAGCCGGGGCTACATAAGAGATCCTGTTTTAAAGAAAAAAAAAAGTGACGTTATTATTAAGAACTTTGGCAAGGACTGGAGAGATGGATCAGTGGTTAAGCACTGGCTGCCTTTCCAAAGACGCAGGTTCAATTCCCAGCACCCACATGGCAGCACACAACTGGCTGTATGTAACTCCAGTTCCAGGAGATCTGACGCCCTCACACAGACATATATGCAAGAATAAGAAAACACCAATGCACATTTAAAAATTGTGAAAAAAATAATTGCTTTCTTAAAAATAAAAAAGAAATTTGGCATGGCTGGGTAGTGGTGGCACACAGATTTAGTCCCAGCACTGGGGAGGAAGAGGCAGGTGGACCTCAGAGTTTGAGGCCAGCCTGATCTACAAAGTGAGTTTCAGGACAGCCAGGGCTACACAAAGCATCAAAACAAAAGAAAATAACTTTGGCATGCTTGTGTGGTCTCTGGTCATGTATTTATGAAGCACCAGCTTGATGCTGGGGCTAAGGATATAGCAGTAAGCCCTGACCCCTGTCCATGGCAGTTCACTGATTCAGGGTGCTAAAGGGTTTTGTCAGCTCCCTGAGAGGCTGGGTACCTGGGTGAAAACCTTAGGGGAAGCAGACCATTCTTTCTTCCTCTTGGCATACTGCCCGTCTCTCCTTTGAATTCTATTCAACGTCACCACGATCCTACAAAAGGCAGCATTGCCACTTCATGAACGTGGGGAGACCTGAGCTGGGGAGATTTCAGTGGCTAGGGTTCCACAGCTAGCAACTGTCAAGGCTGGCGTTGGCATCTGTACCCTGGGCAGGCTTCCCTGTGATAGTCTGAAATTGCTAAGGAAGAGGTGCCTGTGACAGGAATCACTTGGGTCAAGGGGAGGGTGGCAGGTTGGTTGGTCAGGGGCTGTCAGGGCTGTGGAGGTAGTGGGCCTGTGACGGAGAAAACATGAATGTGTTGGGTACCGTTGGTGGGAGGTCATCTCTATGTCTTCTTCTCCCTGGTATGGGAGAAATTCCTCATGGCCCTTCCCACCTTTTTGATTGCAGATGCTGGGTGTTTTAGGGATGCCAAATGGGTTCAGGCCATGTGAAAAAGTTGGTGGTGGCCAATTAGAGGGTGATGGGGATACTTGGCCTTAGGCTGGGCGGGAGGATCAGGGATCCAAATGTGACCCACCACCTGTCTCCTGCTGCGGAGCATCTGTCCCTTCACTAGGGACAGTGATCCTACTCTTAGAACCCAAGGCTGAGTGGCCTAATTCCGTTTCTTGGCCATTGGCTAAGTTTATTATTCCTGAAGCCAAGCAATCCTTGTCAACAACAATCTTTCTGTCATCAGAGGCCAGAGTCACCCCAGCCAGTGGTCTCAGCAGTCTTCACTGCTTACCGAGGGGACTCTGAAGTTTTGGGAGGGGGTGGGACTTTTCCATGTTGATTACTCACTGTGAATTTGCTTTTATAGAACCAAGTAAGAGCTGTAGGGAACTTCCAGGCATATGCAAGAAAATCTCCTTTTTCTAGTGCAATATCACCTGGAAGTGACGATTGGGCTGGTTAGCGATCAGGACAGCTGATCTGCATTCCACCAATCAGAATTCACTGTCAGGGAGCTGGAGAGATGGCTCAGTGGTTAAGAGCACTGACGGCTATTCCAGAGGACCCTAGGTTCAATCCCCAGCGCCCACATGGCAGCTCACACCTGTCTGTAACTCCAGTTCACACATACATGCAGACAAAACATTAATGCAAATAAAACAAAAAATAATAAAAGTTTCTTTTCTTTAAAGAATTCACAGTCAGCTCACTAGAGCACCTTGGCTAGCTTACTGACATTCCACCACTTATACCCCCCCCCCCCCCCAGCAGTCACCTGCTAACTCCCAACTGGAGCTTCCTGGCTGTTGTTTAGACAGTCCCAATCCCCATGCAGAATGGAGAACTGCAGCTTTGCAAGGATAGTTTCCGGGCCAGGGCTGTGAGGTTCCCAGTCAGTGCGCGGCTGGGGTAGCCGAGTCGATGGGCATTGCAGGGGACTACTTGCAGCTGTACCCTGTCTGCCAGCCTACCAGGTATGACCTAGGGTGAGTCTCTGCACCTGTGGGTCAGTTACACACACTTAGTTGTGCAGGTTGTGGTTGCGTGGGGGCCCTTAATAGAGGGCACACCCAGCTGGAGCCAGCTCTGCCCTATTCTGGCTGTCTACACAGTACAGGACCATGTCTATGGTTCACTGCTGCAGTGAAAGCCAGGGAGAAAGAGGTCTGAATAATAGCACCTGTGATTCCAGCACTCGGAAGGCTATCGGAAGGCAGGAGGATTGTGTGAGGCCAGTCCGGAAGGCAGGAGGATTGTGTGAGGCCAGTCCGGGCTGTAAGAGTGAAATCTTGTCACAGACAAGAGCAGCAACAAAGGAGTCACCACTGTAACTCTCCATGGTGCCTGACCCTCCTTCCCTGGGGAAGCTGGCCAGCTGGTCTAGGGGATGGTACAGAACCTGTTCCACCTTGCTCTGGGGTCCCACATTTTACTGGAGCTGGTCCCTTCCTCTCACCTGGGAATCAAGCGCCCTTAAGTCTACTCACTGGTTCTTTGAAACAAGTGTCTTTTTTTTTCTTTTTTTCCTTTTTGGTTTTTTCGAGACAGGGTTTCTCTGTAGCTTTGGAGCCTGTCCTGGAACTAGCTCTTGTAGACCAGGCTGACTTCGAACTCACAGAGATCCACCTGTCTCTGCCTCCCAAGTGCTGGAATTAAAGGCGTGCGCCACCACCGCCCGGCTGAAACAACAGTGTCTTATCTACAGCATAGATTGTCCTCGAACTCAGGATCCTCCTGCCTATACCTAGCTCTAGGATTACAGATGTGTGACACTAGGCTTTTTTTATTATGTTTTGTTTTTTAATGGAGTTCTGGTGATTGAATCTAGGACTTTGAGTGTGTTAGGCAATCACTTTATCAACTGAACCACAGCCTTAACCCCGTTTATTTATTTATTTTTAAAACTGCACTCCGGTATTCTGAGGCCCTTAAGACAGGCTAGCCCTCTGGGTAGCCTGAGGCTGGTTACAAGCTCTGTTTGGAGACCCAGTCCTAGATCAGTTTTAGCCTTGGAGGCGTCACTATCAGGGGCCCAGAGACTGGGCCAGCTGAGGAGGAGACTCCTGCATCAGTCCTAGGGTGGGTGGGGATTCTAATCGCTGGCTGACTTATTTCTGTGACCTCTCATATATGTATATGTATGTATTTATAGTGTTGATGTGTAGGATGCCCGAAGAGGCCAGGGTATTGATGCCCTGCAGTTGCAGCTACGGGCAGGCGGTTTGGAGCCACCTGGCCTGGGTTCTGGGAACCGAACTGTAGAAGAGCGGCAAGAACTCTTAGCTGCTTGGCCATCTCTTCAGCCTCCCTCCTACCAACCACTTTTTAAATTTGAGACGGGGTCTCATGTAGCCTTTAGCCCAGGCTGACTTTGAACTTGTGATGTAGTTGAGGATAAACTTGTACTTAATTTTGCCCTTGCCTTCCTAGTGCTGGTATTACTGGCATGTTGCCATGGTGCCAAACGCCTCATCTCTTTCGTTGTTTTTTGAGACAGGCGTCTTCCTGTGTAGCCCAGACTGGCCTCAACCCCCCCACTCTTCCAGCACTGTGTCCTAAGTGCTGACATTCAGGCATGGGCCATCATATCCTTTCTGTCTCTTCTGGCCTCCAAAGTCCTGTGGTGTCTGCAGAGGCTTCATCTCACTGGCCCCCTGGCTCCAGAGGAGGTGTGTTCAGGGCCAGACCCCAAGGACTGAGGAGCATCGCTGGCTTTGTCCTGCTCTGAGACCTTGTCTCCTTCCAGATGCCCCATTGCTCCCTTTTTGGGACTGGGAGAAGGGAGGCATCCTGACCGGAAGCAGGGAAGCTGGACCTCCAGCTATTCCGCCCTAACACTGTGTTTCTCCCCACCCTAAGCTTTAAGTAGGGAAATCTCATCTGTGGGAGACCTGGGCCCCTTTAGGTCCTATGGGGGCATGTACCTAGGGAGAAGGGGTCATGTATTCTGGGTGCTCTGGGGTCCTGGGCTTTTGGGCCCTGAAAGAAGGGACCTGGCTTGATGAAGTGGGAAGGGAGCTGCTTTGCCTCCAAGTCGCCTGCAGTGGCCAACAGGGAACTCATTCCCAGCTGTCCATCCTTTCTGTTGGGAGAGGATGCTGAGGCCCTGGAAGGGGCAGAGATGCTACTAGGGTCCTTTAGGGAGCTGAGGCAGGACAGATGGGGTAGGCTGGGTGGGGCTGGACAGGCTTCAGCTGTTTCCAGCTGCTGCAGATGTGTCCCCTGTTGGGCTGCACAGCAGCCCATTTTCCCTGGGGATAGAGGCAGGAGCCAGCTCACTGCAAGAGAGTTAGATTTGGCACCCCCTTGACCTCAGACTCCACATCAATGAGGTGAGAGGTGTCGGAGGCCCCTTTTTCCCAGACCCAGGGGTACATGCTCCCTTGGCTCTGGCCTGGAACAGGTCACCCTGGGAGGGCCCCCTCAGGAAGAGGCCAGGACTGTGGCTTTGGGTGGGGCTGAAGGCCTCTGCTGAGAACACAGCATCTGGAAGCCATCAGGCCAGGGGCGGGAGGGGGAGTTGCAGGGGAGGGCTGAGAAGGAGGGGGGTATACCTCCTCTAGGCCACACACAGGCCCACCCCTTGGGAGCAGCGGCGTTGGGCCCTCCACTGCTGGCTGCCTTCTGTAGCATGCAGTGACATCCTCCACAGCATACTGGGAGCCTCCCTTTTCTCTGCAGAGTGAATGTGCCTTGGAGTGGGTCAGGTTAAAGCAGAACTGTCCCAAGGGGTGGTTGACCCAGTGTCCCATCTGGAGTGAGTGCTGCCTGTCTTGACCTTCATACATTCTTAGCTCATAGTGGCTGGGGTGGTGGTGGCTTTAGGCTTCTGGCTGGAGACAACTATGCCATTCGGCAGTCTTCTCGGACTGCGGTGGCAAAGTCTGAGCTACTGAAGGAGGTGGTCCAGATACACAGCAAGGAGCTTTGAACTGTCCCGAGAGCCAGGTGTCTGTCTGGTTGCTGTCTGGGGTCCTCTTGTATTAGAATCATAGGGATTAGCCTGCAGGTTTCTGGGCCTTCCCTGCCTGACTAGGTAGATGTTAGAAAGGCAGGTGAGGCCTGCACATTGGGAACCCCTGTGTATCTCGACACCCAGGTATTGCTAAGAATCTCTTCTAGAGGAGAGAATTTGAGAAAAGAAAGCAGGGAAGGGATGGGTTCTAGGCACACCACCCATTTCCACAGGCAGCTGATTCAGTCCTGGGTGCCCCAAGGCACGCACAACCTTACTTCATCGTGGTGGTGAGCTGTCAGAGTCCCTCAGGCACTGTTTGTCGTAGAGAAGTGACACAGGTTATATCCAGGGCCCTCTGGGGGTAAACTTTAGAGGACATCAATCCTGAATCGACTCCTGTTCTCCCTGGCAGCCTTGCCAACATTCCTCTGACCCCCGAGACCCAGCGGGACCAGGAAAGGCGGATTCGGCGGGAGATTGCCAACAGCAACGAGCGGAGGCGCATGCAGAGCATCAATGCAGGCTTCCAGTCCCTCAAGACCCTCATTCCCCACACAGATGGCGAGAAACTCAGCAAGGTGGGCAGGAGCAGGGAGGGCTTCTTGGAGGAGGCGTCACGCTCTCGTGGGGAGGGGACCAGCCGTGTGATTCTTTCCCTCCTGCTCTCAGGCAGCCATTCTCCAGCAGACGGCAGAATACATCTTCTCTCTTGAGCAGGAGAAGACGAGACTCCTGCAGCAGAACACGCAGCTCAAACGCTTCATCCAGGTACTGGATGGAGAACCCTCCCAGCCTCCCTGCCCTTTTTCTCTTCTGTGTGTGTGTATCCTAACCAGACCACTAACTCGGGACGCATGGGTGGCTATCCTTCTTATCTTGCCCACAGAACCCGCCTACTCCTTGCCTGGGCCTGTTTCTTCATCTGTGAAGGACAGAGGAGCAGGCTCTGGAGGAAGCAGGCGACTGTTCTAGAAAGCAAGTCCATTCTTCTGTTCCTGGCATTTGGCTACTTGGTGGATTTGCAGAAGGGATTCTCCAGTATTGAGTCCACCTGTCTCGGGTGGCTTTGGAGAGCTCCAGGACCTCTGGATGTGTTATGGGTGTGTCAACTAACTCACTCACCAACCTCTTGGGGTCCCCAGGAGCTGAGTGGCTCATCCCCCAAGCGGCGACGGGCAGAAGACAAGGACGAGGGCATTGGCTCCCCTGACATCTGGGAGGACGAGAAGGCTGAGGACCTTAGGAGGGAGATGATTGAGCTTCGGCAACAGTTAGACAAGGAGCGATCTGTGCGGATGATGCTGGAGGAGCAGGTGAGGCAGCGCCCTCTGCTGGCCAGTGTGATACCCAGGCATAGAGGTTGGAGTCTGGTCTTTTTCTGTTCAGTTTCAAGTATTTTTTTTTATAAAAGAGCCTACTCTGTGTTTGGCCTAGGAGTAGGCTCTGTTCTCCAGTCTCCATTTGCATAGGAGTGAAAAGCATTAGTCAATGACTCTTCCTTTTTTTAGTATTTATTTATTTACTGAGTTACATACTTATTTATTTATTTATTTATTTATTTATTTAATGTTTATGAGTGCTTTGTCTTCACGCACACCAGAAGAGGGCTTCAGATCCTGTTACAGATGGTTGTGAGCCACCATGAGGTTCCTGGAATTGAACAGGACCTAGAAGAGCAGCCAGTGTTCTTAACCTCTGAGCTTTTCTCCTTGCCCTTTTTCTTTCTTCTTTTTTTTGTTTTTGCTTTTTTTTGGTTTTTCTTTTCTTTTTTTTCTTTTCTCTTCTTTTCTTCCCTTTTCAAGACAGAGTTTCTGTCCTGGAACTAGCTCTGTAGACCAGGCTGGCCTCGAACTCACAGAGATCCACCTGCCTCTGCCTCTGCCTCTGCCTCTGGATTGCTGGGATTAAAGGCATGCACCACCACTGCCCAGCAAGGTGTAAATGCAATGGAGGGGTGGGCTGTTTGGCTCAGTTGTGGAGTGCTTGGTATGTAAGTTCTGGACTCGGCTCCCAGCATGCACACTCAAAAAACTGCAGCTGAGAAAGACTGCACAGGGGCTGTGGCTCCAGGAAGGGTTTGACCTGGTTCCCCGGGTTGTGCTCCGTGGTTTCCATAAGCAAATGGGCCATCAGACAAGAAAGGAGAGGTGGGAACAGTTGAGACAGAAGTTTAGAGGTGAAGTGGTGAGCCTTTGGTCTGCCCTGAAGGGGGCGCCCTCTGCCAGGGTTTTAGGTTTAGGATCGCCCTGTGCCCTGGATTGGAGTTTTAGTGAGAAATGGCCTTTGCAGCAGGTTGGGCAGGTGTGGTCTTGTCTTGCCCCACCTCTGAGTGCTATGCCGATTCACTTACAGGTGCGCTCCCTTGAGGCCCACATGTACCCGGAAAAACTCAAGGTGATCGCCCAGCAGGTGCAGCTGCAACAGCAGCAGGAGCAGGTGCGGCTGCTGCACCAGGAGAAGCTGGAGCGGGAACAGCAGCACCTGCGGACTCAGGTGAGCGGGAGCCTCCAGGAGGGGCCCCTGCGGGCTGCCTCTGGGACCTCAGAATCCAGTCGGGCAAATGGCAATGCAGGCGTGCTTGAGAGCGTTACAACAGAACCGAATCCTCACACTGGTCCCTTTGAAGCTTGAACTGTTACAGTGTTTTATTACTGTGGAAAATGAGGCAGAGAAAGTTCAGATAACCTGCCCAGGAGCAGGAATTTGAACCCTTTCTGTCTCAACCCAGGAACTATGTTCTTTTTTTTTTTATGGTGGTGATAGACTCCAGGGCCTTGTGCATGTCAGGCAAGCATCCTACCACTGAGCTACTTCTCAGCGCCAGACTCTGTAATCCTTTTGTTTGTTTTGAGAAAGGGTCTCACTATGTAGACCACGCTACCCTTGAACTCACAGAGATCTGTCTGCTTCTGCCTCCCAAGTGCTGGGATTAAGGGCTCACCCCACCATGCCCAGCCAGGGTGTAAACCCTTGAACAGTGACTTACTAAATTCCGAAGTGCTTCTTGACACAGGGAAGCGGAGCGACCAGAGGGTCTGGGGTGCCCCGAAGCTGCTCGCGAGGCCGCCATTCTTGTGTGGTGGGGTTGTGACTTGGCGGCCCCCTCTGCTTGTCAGCTCTCCACTAGTGTAACGAGCTCCTGAAATAATCAGTTTATAAAGAGAAAAAGGGTACTTTGGCTCATGTGTTGTAGGCTTCAGACTGTGATTGATTGGAGCGGGGCTGAGGTGCTGTATCATGGCAGGAACCAAACCTCTCACCTCATGGCTAGGAAACTGAAGAGAGAAAAAGAGAAAGAAGCAGGATGTGCCTGCCCAGTTCTACTTGACTCCATTATTATTATCATTTTCTGAGACAGGGTTTCTCTATGTGGCAGCCCTGGTAGTCCTGGAACTCACTTTGTAGACCAGGCTAGCCTTGAATTCCACCTGTCTCTGCCTCCTGAGTGTTGGGATTAAAGGTGTGCTCCATCACCGCCTGGCCCTAGACTCCGTTGTTATTGTTGTTATTATTTTGTTCCCTTGAGAGAGGGCCTTGCTACGTGTCCCATGTGGCCTTGAACTCACTATATCCCAGATTGGCTTGAACTTGTCATTGTCCTGCTCGGCTTCCTGAGTCCTGTGATTACACCACACACTAGCTTAGGCTCAACTCCTTCAGGTTTCTGTCTTCTGTTACTGCCATGCCAGAGACCAAGCCTGTACCGCGTGGACTTTGGGGGGACATGTAAAATCCACACTCGTAGATACCCTGTGTATAAGGAAGGCTGGTGGGCGGGAGAGAGACCAAGGACCTTCTGTCTTGCAGCTTCTGCCTCCTCCAGCCCCGACCCATCACCCCACAGTGATCGTGCCTGCACCAGCCCCACCTTCCTCCCACCACATCAATGTTGTCACCATGGGTCCCTCCTCAGTCATCAATTCTGTTTCTACATCCCGGCAAAATCTGGACACCATTGTTCAGGTATTTGGGCTCGGGAGGGTGGCTCATGGGAATTGACTGTTGGGGACAAGCCCCAACCCCAGACGATTTCTCTGTCCTAGCTCTTGTTGACCAGGCTGACCTTGAACTCACAGAGATCTGCCTGCCTCAAATGCCAATTAAAGGCATGCGCCACCACACCTGGCGATTGTGGCTTTTATAACAGTCTCTATCTGTTGCACAGAAGTTTCCTTGATGAGGGGCAAGGACGCTGGAGAAAGATGTCCAGTGTTTTATTTATTTACTTTTGAGAAAAGATTTTTATATATCCGTGTGCATGCGCTTGCATGCCTGTGTGTATACACACACAATTATCTATATATAATACATGAAAGATGTCTATGTTTTTGAGCTAATATCTGTCTATATATGATACACACACATATATGAGAACATTAGGATCATATATATATATATATATTACATATATTTTCCTTTCTTCCTAGAAAAGACTGCATTTTTTGTAAGCCAAGTTATTCTGTTTATATTGCTAAATACAGTTGATGTATTTAAATATATGACAACACACACATACATACATACATACATGCATACACACACACACACACACACACACATATATGAGATCCTAATGTTCTCATTATGAGGATTCACATTTTTGACCTCCAAAATGTCTTTGTCTCTCTCTCTCTCTCTCTCTCTCTCTCTCTCTCTCTGTTTTTTTGGGGGGGCTTGTTTGGGGTTTGGTTTTTGTATTTATTTATTTGTTAATTTTGAGATATTTGTGTCCAAGGAGCAGCCACTATATTTTGTTAAGAAAGTGGGGGTGGGGAGCCAAAGAACAAGCGACGGAGACTGTCGCTGGAGCTTGTTGGCCACCGTTAGGGTAGGCTGGCCTGCAGTGAGCCATAGGGATCTTTCTGACTCTAATTTCCCAGCTCTTCTGGTCCCAGTTCCTGCCACGTGCCTGACGTTAGAGAGTCTGGGGACTGAACCCAGGCCCTCACTCTGCAGACTGAATTATCTCCCCAAGCCCCCTTTGCCTTTATATGGGTAGTAGTCCTTAGGCTCCTGTCAGTGCTGTGAGCAACATTAAAAAAAAAAAAAAAGAATCAGTTGATAAATAGTAAAACAACCCAGAAAACAGAAGCAAGGGGAAAAAAAGACTGTCAACTATATATGCCCAGCAGACTGAATAATACCGCGAACAGCAAAGACCTTTACTGAGCTAGTGAACTTCATAGTATATAAACAGGAGCCGCCATTTAGTTTTGAACAGTTCTGGGGGTGTGTATTTTGGGGACAGAATGCAGTGGCGGAGGGCCCCCACTCTTGACTGGCTGGCCCGGTCTCCTGAGTCTCCTAATGGACTGTCCCTTTCTGTCTAGGCAATCCAGCACATTGAGGGCACCCAGGACAAGCAGGAGCTGGAGGAGGAACAGAGACGAGCTGTGATTGTGAAGTCGGTCCGCAGCTGCCCAGAGGCTCACACCTCCGATACCGCCTCGGACTCTGAGGCCTCGGACAGCGACGCCATGGACCAGAGCCGGGAGGAGCCTTTGGGGGACGGGGAGCTTCCCTGACCACCCCCAGCCCTCCTCTCCCTTCTGGGGCTAGAGGGGGCCGGGGTAACAACAGGGAGAAACATGGGTGAATGAGTGAGGAATTTTTACAAAATTATGATGTCATTTGGGTCTCTTTTATGACCTCTTTTTCAATACTGTAAGTCGACCTTTGATCGAAGCCACCCAAGCCCAGGTCCCGGGGTTGGGGTGGCATAGCACGCGTGGGAGCATCGGGACTCCAGGGCTGGGCCTCGGCCCTGGGGCCGGGGAAGCTGACACTGAGGTGCCGGGTTTTTCTCCGCCAAAAAGCTTTTTCTGTTTGTTTGTTTGTTTTCCTTCCATTTAAACGTGTTTTTAAGAACAGGGAAAATCAAACAAAACCCCAAGGTATTTTCCCCCTCCCCAGGACCAGCCCGAGACTGTCAGTCTTAGCCCCCTTCCCTCCTGTTTGGTTTTCTTTTTTCTCTTTTAAGCACTTACATGGGTTGGGGGTCAGGCTGGGTTGGGGCTTTCTGGGGACCTGGGGCTTTACAATGTTTCTCGGTTGGGGGTTGCTGCTGCCATTCTCCCCTCCCCCTCCCCACCTCAGCACCAGAATTGGCCATTCTCCACTACCACCTTCCCTCCAGGGTTTCCATCATTGACCCCAAAAATGTCTTTGTCTCTCTTTTTGTTTTGTTCGTTGTTGGTTTTATTTTGGTTTTGGTTTCTGTAATTTTTTAAATTTTTTCTTTTTCTTTTTTTTTACACAATTTTGAGGTCTTTGTGTCCAAGGAGAAGCTATTATATTTTGTTAAGAAAGTGGGGGTAGGGAACAAAATACCAAGAGGCCATTGTGCCTTTGTAAAGAAACAAAATAAAATTTGTACTTTGTTTTTTAAATTCTGTATTTCTTGAGGATGTACAGTTCTGCGGACCCTGGCCTGGGCTGTTTGGCCTAGACTAAGGGGTGTTCTTTGGACTTTCAAATCCAGAGGGGACTGTGTGAACATAATGGCACTCCTGATTGTGTGTGAAGTTGCAGTGACGAGATTGGGGCCCTCAGTCCGTGGGCTTACTTGGAATATTCTTTAACAATGGGACGTGTGCTGGGGTGGAGGGAACGGCTCAACCGTCACTGAAGGGAAGGCGAGTAAGCCACGGTTTTAAGTCTAGAGGAAGAGCATAGATGCTCTCAGGCTCTGCTGGGTTTATGAGCCTTACTGCTGCCTAAGTGTGTGCGCCCCTGTGTTCCTCTTCTCCCCAGTTTACAAACTCCCCCTGTAGATCTGAGTGAAGACTGATGGGGTGGCACCATCAGTGCAAAGACTGACCCGTGGCACTCCAGCGTGCTAGGAGTAACCGAATTCATTGGGGGTCAGTTAGCATTGGGCGACTGAGGATGGCCGAATTTTCCTCTACCCCATGTGAATGCCCATTTTACATGGCTCTCCGTCCACATGCAGCAGAATTAACTCGGAGCAGTGGCTAGTCGTTAAGCCGTAGAGGTGACTGCAGGTTCAGAAAAACCAGAATCCAGGTGGAGGCACACCCCTTTAATGCCAGCACTTGGAGCCAGAGGCAGGTGGATCTCCAGGAGTTTGAGGCCATCCTGGTCTACAGAGAATTCCAGGACAGCCAAGACCAAACAAAACACCCCAAAGAACCCAGACTCCAGGAAAATTTGTTCCTTGTTCTTAGTGGGGGCTGGGGAAGGGGACGTGCTGATCTCAGCATACACTGCCCCATCAGGGAAGGAGTTGGTTTTGCTGTTCTGGCCCAGAGAAGAGCAACATGGAGGCCGGCTACAGGATGGACTTCCTCAGGCTAGGGTTTGGAGGGCCAGACTCAGATCCTCTGGGGCCAGTGTTCTCATCTGCACAAGGGAAGGCAATCTCTTCATTTAGAGCCGGGCAGTGGTGGCGCATGCCTTTAATCCCAGCATTCGGGAGGCAGAGGCAGGTGGATCTCTGAGTTCGAGGCCAGCCTGGTCTACATAAAGTTGCTCATTTTACAAGTGAACCTAGGCCACTCACAATGCTAATAAACTCATCTAATTCCAAACATCTCCTCAGCTTCAAAATGCACCCTTTCCCTACAGCATCGCTCTCATCCTCCCCATCCCTGGTAGCCACCAATCTCATTTAGTATTCAAAACAAAATAGTGGGTGCTGGCAAGATGGATCACTAGGAGACAGTTCAGGTGGTGGTGATACAAGCCTACCTGGGTTTGATCCGGGATCCAGCACAGGGTGGAAGAAGAGAATTGACTCTTGGAAGTTGTCTTCCACGTACATGTCACCACACATGGACCATGCACACTTAAATCCCAGGACTCAGGAGGCAGCTGGGGCAGCATGGCCTCTATAGAATGATTTTGAGGATGGCCAGGGCTACACCCTGTCTTAAAAAACAAACAAACAAAACAACCGGCGGTGGCGCATATCTTTAATCCCAGTACTCAGGAGGCAGAGGCAGGTGGATCACTGAGTTTGAGGCCTGCCTGGTCTACAGAGCTAGTTCCAGGACAGCCAGGATACACAGAGAAACCCTGTCTCGAAATACAAAAAACAAAACACAGGAAACACTATAATTGTATTAACTGAAATTCACACTTGTTGGTTGTGAGTTTGTTTTTTTTTTGAGTATGCACCATGAGATAGGAGTTAATATTTCCTCAGTGTTCCTCCAGTCTGTGTTGTTTTTCTGGTATATTTTTGTTATAGTTTTGCTTTTTGCAAAATGTTATGTAGAGTCATTTGAGTCTGGTGTCTTTAGGTAGCATTTTGCCTCATTTTCTCTTAGGTATGAGGTGGTCGGCAGGAGCTCATGCAGCTCCTGATAGCATCAACAGAGGGCGCTGTGGGCCTACGATGCTTGCTTCTGGCGGGACCGAGGCTCTGCCTCCTTCCGGTCTCTGCTCTAGTCCCATAGGCCAGAGACGGGATATGGGGCGGAGCCAAGAAAAATAGCCCGACTCTGGAAACGCATTGGCGCCCCGCTGTGGTAGGCGGGCTCTTCAGGAGGTTGCGGAAGTCCTCGCGCGTTCGAGTCCTGCCCCTTCCGGGTTTAGCCACGCCCTCTCAGCGCGCACACCTCGTGGCGCCTCGGAGGGTCGGGGGCGTTCCCGCCAGGAGGCTCTGCCGGCCCCACCCACGGGGGCGGGGGGGACACCGCTTTGGTCCGTGCGTCAGGCGTGGTGCGGCGATCTCTCTTTACGTGAGACTTTAAGTGTCCCAGAAGACGCCGTAAGACAGCCGAGGAATAGGTGACACACGTCTTCATACTAATTATGTCTGGAGCCTGTCACCTCAGGGTGTCCTTCATTGTTCCGCTCTAGCCCAAGGCGGGGCGCCGCTGATGCCCGCTCTGCAGGACGAACCCCGACGCAGAGCGAGACGACGGTGCCGCTCTGGACCGTATTCTTGCGTGCAGGGACAATGGAGCGGAGCGCGAGTGACACCTTTAACACCTGTGTTTTTTGGGGTGGACGCTGGGATGTTAGGCAAGCCCTACCCCTGCCCGTGCCCATTTAGCCAACATCTGTTTTTACTTTTTACTTTTAGGCTTTATTATCTCTATAATAGTTGCTTATTTTTATTTTATGAGTTTGCTCACATGTATGTATGTGCATGCTCCAAGTGCATGCATGGTGCCTGCAGTCCAGAGGAGGGCATCGGATTCCTTCGAACTGAAATTCAAGACCGTCGTGAGCTTTCTGTGGGTGCTGAGAGCTGAACCCTAGTCCTTTGCTTTTAATTGCTTGCTGAACCATCTCTCCAGCTCCTGTTTTATCTTTTGTGTTTATGACATGTGAACACACCTAGTTTCAACACTTAGGTGGAAGCGGGAGGATCAGGAATTGAAAGCTTATCCTCAGCCATGTAGTATGTTTCAGGCTAGCGTGGAATACATGAGACCCTGTGCCAAGATGGACAGTGATGGCACATGCCTTTAGTCCCAGCACTCAGGAGGCAGAGGCAGGCAGATCTCTGTGAGTTTGAGGCCAGCCTGGTCTACAAGAGCTAGTTTCAGAACAGCTAGGGCTGTTACACAGAGAAACCCTGTCTTGAAAAACAAAAAAACAAAACAAGAAGGAAATAAGATAACGCTACTTTTGTTATTTATTTTTGTTTTTGCTTATCTATCTATCTGTCTGTCTGTTTATTGAGACAGGATTTCTCTGTGTAGCCCTGGCTGTCCTGGAACTCTGCCGACTAGGCTGGGCTCAAACTCAGAGACTTCCTGCCTCTGCCAACCAAGTGCTATGATTAAAGGTGTGCACCACCACCATCTTGTGAATGGCTACTTTAATGAAATTCAGTTAATCAAATTAAATTGATTGAATAAATTTAAAAAATTATAGTTATTTATTGTGCAGGCCTGGGAATAGAACTCACGTCATCAGGCTTTCCAGCAGACACTCTTACCACTGAGCTGTTTTACTCGCTCTACTTTATTTAATTAAAAAGGAATTCTTTTTTTTTTTCAATTTTGGTTTTTCGAGACAGGGTTTCTCTGTAGTTTTGGAGCCTGTCCTGGAACTAGCTATACAGACCAGGCTGGCCTCGAACTCACAGATATCCACCTGTCTCTACCTTCTGAGTGCTGGGATTAAAGGTGTGTGCCACCACTGCCTGGCCTTAAAAAAAAACCGTGTGTCTATGTGTCTGTGTATATAAGTGCAGTATAGCATCTTCCTGTCCTCTATTACCACAGACAACCTCTTGAGCCTGCGATTCCCAAAGAGGGAAACTGAGGAATCATTCTTTTTCCCAAAGGCTCCAGTGATATCTATCAGCCAGGGGCTTTGCATTCTGTTTTGTGGGTTTGATGACACATTTTGGTCACAAAGGCATAATTAACACTCAGACATACTACTATCTACATACCCGTGGAAGGATCAATGTCCCAGGAACTCTGAACAGCACACCCATCTTGTCCTTAAATGGCTCTGCCAGGTTCACCATCCCAGGCTTCTCTTCAAACTTCTCTACAGTGGGGTCACTGAGATGCAGCTGTAACTGCAGGCTGGCTGGGTACCCATTCTGCTGCCTCTTAGCTTGTCCTGGCTATGGACAGGTGTATGCTCCAAGGTCTCACTGAACAACAAGCAGCTGGACTGGCGCCATACCTGACCACCAGCATGCGTTTGTTAATTTTTATTGCTAATCACTAATTCTTTGTATGAATATTCCATAATTTATCCATTTACCTGGAAATGGACATTTAGATTGTTTCTAATTTATAGCTATTGTAAAATCATTTTTTGAAAAAATTGTTTATTTTATGTGTATGAATGCTCTTATCTGCATGCATGCCTGCATGCCAGAAGACGGCATCAGATCCCATTATAGGTGGCTGTGAGCCAACCTGCGTGGTCGCTGCGAGTTGAACCTCTGGAAGAGCAGCCAGTGCTCCTAACTGCTTAGCCATCTCTCAGGCTCTGTAAGTTCATTTTTATAGACACTGCCCCCTAAATACCCACAAGTAAGTGATAATTCAGATTTGTCCTGTGATTGATGGCCTCTTTGGTGGCTGTTTCTTTGAGATCAGGACTGGTTATTCTCAGTCCCTGGTTCCCTCATTGACCCTGTTTTGAGTCTCCATTAGGAGTAAGCCTCATGGGAAATGTGCTCTTTCTTCTGGGAGAGTGTTGTCAGGGACCACTGTGTTGTCCCTTGTTGGCTTTATGATGATTCTCAAGAACATTCCTGTTGACTCTCAGTAACATTATCATTTCTTCCTAGCATGTGATTTGTTCTCATTTTAAGGACACTGAATTGGGCATGTGGTCACTCACATGTTAGGGCTTAAATATATAGCCTTCTCCCCCCCTTCTAGCCTTCCATTTTGTGTTTATTTTCCTGATTCTCTTCTGCTGTTTGGTGCATTCTGCTATA